TATCTTTGGAAGGAAATTTGTGCAAAGACAAGGTCTTCATAATAGACTGAGTCACAAAGGATGTGGGCTAAGATTATAATCTTTGAATGTGATCCTTCTAAATGGCCTTTTGCTTCATTCAGCTTGGGAAGGAAGTAGACTCGTGAACTTAATATCACATTACCAACAAGAGTTGGTCCGAGTGATAAGCGGTTCGGTTTCGCTTAAGCAAGGTCTCGAGTTCGAGTCTTGTGTATGCAAAAAATTCTTACTAGGAGACTCACCCACCATGCCAGGTGCGTGACGCGGGTCAAATCCGGATTTAGTCGAGGCAAAGCTTCGGTGAACCGGGGGTAGGCTACCAAAAAAAAAACTTAACATCACGTTGTCACTTAAATTTTGAAGTATTAAGTCTACCAATAACAAATACATGAGGGACAATAGAATTGCTTACCAAATTGAATATTTTTTATGTGACAATCTAATTGGGAGTCAAATTCAAGCATTGTCGAGCCCGATTAATGATAGCTCTTTAAAAAGTGTCTTTTGTATTCACACAGATTTGTTTAAAAAAAAAAACACACAAATTTAAACTTAAGATCTTATATTTAAGTAGTCATAGCTCCTTCCATTAGACCAATGCCTGTTAGTTAAAAAATTGCTTTTAACCCCCTAACTTTATGTAGTTTTTTTTTTTTTAATTTTTGGCCCCCTACGTTGCTAGAATGTAGATCCCTCTTCGAGTTTATGAATCCTTTTACACGCAGCTTTTCTTTAATACGAAAATTTAATGTAGGACTTCTTTTCACGTTAATTCAAAATTAACTTCCCTTATTATTTACCCATCAAAAAAAAAAAAAGACATAGAATGAGTCCGTTTAGTTTATAAAATTGAATTGTGAAGATAAAAGTTTCGCTTTGATCCTTGCCAATGGTCCTAGTGCTCTTACGGGTAGAGCAGGAACAATCTACTTTAGTTCTATTCTACATATTAGAAAAGAATAGCCATGCGTTGGCTTAGTTAATAAAATTCAACTGTGTTGCCATTCTTTATATACACCCCAAAAAAAAAAATTGTGTCCATCAAATAGTCTGATTTGGTTCTTCTTAATGGTCATCCAGTGTCACACATCTTTGTTTTTTTTTTTTTTAATCAAATGTCACAAATGAAACAAGAGGCGATTGTTGAAACTTATTTATAAGCTAGCAAGCATGAGTTACATGTCAAGTATCAATATTTTCATCACTAAAAGAATAAAGTGGTCAGCATGTAAGTACTTAAAAAAAAAAATGCAATAGAAGATAAAAAGGTTTATCTTTATGAAATGACTTTAACTTGTTTATTGATAGAATAAGGTACTTGATTTCATGAAGTTGAGTAATTAATACACTTATAATCATGAGAGCTCATGTTATGGTGTTACCTTGAGCTACAACTAGTTTGGCCCATGTTGACCCAAACTATTCAGAATGTGGGCAGCTTCAATATCAATAGTAAAATAATAGGTGTGGATTGGTGGGGTTTGCTTAGATTGTTGGCCACATCCCTTTGAAGATAAGGTGCCTGTATCATGACGAACAAGGAGAAATAGGTACAATAAATTAACCGCTTTGTTTGTGTGACTCTCAGTTTTTGATTTAGACTTGATTGACACATTAACTTTAATGGATGATAATAAAATATCTTTCAAAACTTCGAGCTAGAATGAAAAGTATTAAACTTCACATAGTAGACCATCGCTTTTGTGGGAGTAGATATACCAGACATCATAATAAAACTAGAATGAATTCAATTGACACCTAAAACATTTGGGATAAAGAAAGCAGCTGAAGAACAGGTTTCTTTGGATGCCAAATACTAGCATGATTTTCTACAGAATGAAGAGCAGCAATAAAACTAAGGTACAAGGAGATGTGTGGCATAGTTAAAAGGATAAAAGATTCCAAGGTATGACCCTTGATTTAATATTAGCCATCAAGAAGTGTCCTCAAATGACTATAACATACCTAGAGAGGGTATGAGATCGCAGCAATAGCAGCCAGAGGATGAGGGATCAGAACCTGGTCCTTATTGTCCAAGACAAAACATGGGTTGATGATGACTGGTTTTGTTTGGCATGAGACATACACGTGATCCAAAAATTTCTAGTTTACCTGCTCCTGTAACATAAAAAGAATCTACCTTTCACTATTAACTATTAGTGAGAGAAAGGGAGGGGGTAGAGGTTAGTCCCACATATGCAGCAGAACCGAGGGCATGTAGGTTGAAACATGTTTCCCCAGTTCCTTAATCAATAATTGCTATCGCTCTCCCCCCCCCCCCCCAATCACTTGTTTCTGACAGGAGCTCCTGTGATTTTCTATATATACAGCTGAAGTGATCAAACAACTTCGGATTTTAAGGGTATCAAACCTCCAGATTGACAATATGATGAACTCTTCCAACTTCTTCCTGTGTTGTCTCGTCACAGTGGCTCTATATTTCACCTTCCATCACACAGGCCCCTCTCTAGATGTCATGCCAAAACCAGGGCGAAAGTTGAGCATGTCAATCCCTCTCGTCCAGCATGAAGATCACAAAATCAAGGTACATATTTTCCCCAGTTAATCATCCTACAGAATAGAGTCAATTGCAAGGCAAGATCAGACTAAGTATGATGCGGCATATTCTTAGAACGCATGATCCAATACTTATTTCCTTTCTTCACCATTTGCTACAACCATAAATCTGTCAAGGAAAGGTAAGATCATAAGTGTCCTTTTGTGATCAGATCATAGTCCACCAAACAGAGTCAGTAGCGGCAAGATAAGATCAGAACTATGATAGAATGATACAAAACATTCTAGAAGGCATATTCCAATTCTTCGTTTGTTCCCTTTCCCCTAAGCTGCTACTCATACCTGTCTGAGCACCGCCTCTGCTGTTTCCTACCGTTTAGATTATGATCTCTCCACTAAGTCCTTTAATTTGGGGGGCATTAAATGCAGGTGGCAGATGAGGCAATGGAAAGTTCCTCTGCTGAGGATGATCCCATGGCACTACAGTATACAAGCAACAGTAGCAATCCTCATGATCTAGTCTACCACATAGATTACCATGGAGTAACAACTCATCCAACTCCTAAACATCCCAGACCATAGGTTGCAGCTTTAATTTTCATGGGAAAGAGATTTACGCAATCGTCTATCACTTCTATGATAATTTTAATCTACATATGAATGCAATGTATTTCGTGGGGTAGAAAAGAAAGTTTTGTTCCATGGCTTATCCCATTTGCACAACAAAGCGATATATAGAATACCTTGTAGCCCTTAGCTTACAGAACAATCAAAGTGGACGAGTTGGCTGACCAAGCAACTATGAATGTCAGACATATTTCACCAGGCAACTAAGATATGACATTTTCTGGCTCAACCAGTAGAAATTGAAGAACTTAAAAACGTTAGAATTGAATAAATTACACAAAATCCCATAAATTTTCCTGAAATTACGTATATCTCCTCACAATTTCAAAACATACATACGTCTCCTAAAACTTGAAGTTATATTATATCTTAATCCACTTTTAAATTTATTTTTTTTTAAACTAAAATACCCTCTGTTAACCTGAATCATCTAGTTTTTTTTAATTTAATATACAAAAACAAAAAGGACTCTTGTTTCTATTTGTGCATATTCACACACACGCACACACGCACATTTGTATGTTTAGGCTAATGAATGATATATTAGGGAAAATTTTTAAACTTGGAATATATGAAGTCTATAATTTCAACAAAACTGAAGGAGGTCTTTGTAATTTACTTTAGCATTTATCATGTAGTGAAATCATTCCATTGCTATATTGCTTTCTAGCCTTCCTATATTTCTGAAGCAACATCACATAACCAGCTATTATATTCTCATATACTACATCACTACAAAACCTGGACTTGACTCCTAGAAAAGCAGCTTCTACTTCATCCTGGTACTGAGCACATAAAGACAGCAAGTCTTCAAACACAGAAGATTGATTTACATCATATCTTCTGGAAGACTCTCTTTTTGGATGGAGAAACCAAAGCCATCTGATTCGTTGAAAAGGATCTTCATTTTTCTTAATTGCAACCTCTAAGCTGCTCAGCACTTCCAAGAACCTAGATTCAGTATGAATTTTATCAATTACATGGCAAAAAATGTTTTTCTGATTATGAGCAAGCCAATTACAAACATGTGGTGGCAAAGAATCTTCTGCAGCGAAGCACGCCTTCCGAAAGGTAGGATCAGAATTGCCAATGATCTTGATGGCAAAGTGTAATAAACTCACAGAAACCAGATCAAGCTTTTGAGACCAAGGTATAGAGCCACCATAATAAGGTCTCTCCTGGTTTTCACTCCAGCAATGAAGTGCAAAATGAGCAACTCCTTCCCATCTGCTGGACAGAATACATAAATTATTAGTGATGCCAAAAGATATTTTAGTCATTGCAGGTGTAAAAAATATTAAAAAATGACTTCCATATTTTGAACTGCAAGCACTATCTTTGAATCTTTCATTTACAGGGATAACAGTTGCTCTGCTAGCACAAAATATCAGTATATATGCCAAGCCATTAGAGTGCTCAAACTCTTCAATTCTCTCTCTCTCTCTCTCTCTCTCTCTCTCTCTCTCATGAACTCCATTGGAAGCAAAATCAAAAAATGGAGAAAGAGGAGAAAATGCAAAAAACTGTTACAAAAGAAAACATGTGTTTCAGATATCAAGGACCAAAGCCAAGTCCAAATAACTTGTGACCAAGTCATCCCACAGATCCAAAAGGAAAAAAAAAAAAAAAAGAATAAAATAGATCATTCATCAAGTGACAGGGAGAGTTAATGATTAGATAGCCTTTCCAAATAAAAATAAATAAATAAATATATAAATATATATATATAAACGAACTATAACATGACCCACATTAACCGAGCATAATAAAACCCACTTTTTATGTGACAAAACACTCTTTCTGGAGTTCAAATCTTCCCGCTTCTTCAATTGATAGCACAATCAAAGATTGATAATTTAGTACTCTTCCTCATAAGATGGATTATAATTGACATAGGCATCATTTTCAAAATGATAGCATAAATGCTGGTCCATGAATCAGCTTTCCAGAGACACAAAGTCTGAGTGCGTGTCCCATCTTCTTGTGGACACTAATGTCTAAATTTAATGATTGATTTAGTGTGGGTCAGCTCACATGCATTGTTTCAGTTCCCTGCTTCAAGAAAACCATCAATCATTATATTATACTTTATTTTATTATCTTTTCTGGTCAACAAAGAGCACTACACTATACTTCCTCCATCCCGAATTATAAGCAAATTTTAAGCATGGTCTCTTGGTCTTTAAGCAAAAACCACCCAATTTCAGATGCAATTAAGAGATGTTTCCAAATTTGCCCCTCATTAAATGACCATCATTAAGATAAGAACAAAGTTGAACATAATAACATGGGCATTTAAGTCAAAAAAAAAAATATGACACATAATTATGAAGATTAACTAACTTTATTAGGAATTGTGAAACAGTCAAGATTTGCTTATAATTAGGGACGAAGGGAATACATCACAAACATGAGTTATAGAAAGAGTAAAGGGGAAAAAAAATTATGCTTGCATGACAGGAGAGTTCATAGACAAATAAACATTCAAATTATTGGTTTGCATTCCTTGAAATCATGAAATACTGAGAATTAGTCCAAGGCACTTATAGAATATCAGTATTTTACTAAGCTTTTAGAGGTGAAAAGATGATGATGTCCTACAAAAATTTATGATGTTACAACAAACCAAACTCTGTGGCAGTATTAGTGGTTCAATCAGTGAGCTACACCACGTGATCATCAACCATTCAAACTTCTTATGGTTCTTCTTGACGGACCAAAGAAGCATACTGCTTATTTTAATTAGTCAAAGCTGGACTTGCTTTGGCGGAATGGGGAAAAGGACATCACCATTAACATGACAGTACTGATTTGATTGGGGAATATTAGGATCAAGCATGCTTGCCAACAGTAGAGGATCAGCATGATTGTGAAGATTATTATTTCGTTGGAACAAAATTTACAATTTACCATAGGGGAAAAGGTAGACAGAAAATGATATTGGACATATTTTCAAGAAGTAAATGTGAAATCATAATCCCTCGCCAACCTAGATCCTCAGCTTGTGAATGCAAATATTGCATGAGAGATTAAGAGAAAAGAGATGATGGTGTAAAGGTGGTATAAAATTATGTACATTCCTACAGGAACATGGGAGAGAAAGCTCACCCAAAATTGAGTTTACCACACAACACAGGACACCATTCAATCAATCATTGCATCAAAAGAAGAATGAACACCGTAAAAATCACAATCTTCACCCTTAAAAAAAAAAACAAGAAAAAGGAGAACAAAGGAGGAAAATGAAATCAAATAAAGGGCCATGAGCCCATGACAAGTTTTACAACTCCTTGACAATAAGAGATTAATGGGAACCTTCATGTTAAACTATACTTACTCAAATGGTGGTTCAACCTCAACACTAAGGGTAAGGTGTAATGAAAACCCAGAAGAAACGTCATCAGGGCCGGATTTAGTATATGCTTCATGAGGAAAACCTCTGGGAATATATAACACATCACCCTCCCTGAGCAAGAACTCCTTTTTACCAGCCATTGTACAGTTAACATCATAACCACGTAGATCATCATACAAACGAGGTAACAGCTGACTAGGTTGAGAAAATACTGTCCACTGCTTGGAGCCAAAAATCTGGCATACAAACACACAGTGATCATCGAAGTGACATGCCAAACCCTGAGAATTAGGTGGTGTCAAGTACAAATTGGCACCTGCAGATGGTTGACCAAACATAACTGCTAATTTATCAGTAATAGCAGCAATGCTTCGATAGCGAAACTCTAAACCACGCAGTGCAACTGTATATCCTTCTTTATATGCTTGTCCACACTTCAAGACGTCATCTTTAGTGAAATAGTGAGGTTCTCTAGTGCAGCCTGAATTAAAGTGCTGAAAGTAATGCATCTCTTTTCTTGAGTGCCTCTCTGTCTTTACAACTCGAATATCCTGATGGTAAGCTATAGGAAAACCCAATTTATCATTCACCTCACTCAAAAAATTGAGGACATCATGTTCATCTGAGGCAATTGGAAAACAAGATACTAGACCCTGAAGAATTGATGACAGAAGAGAAGGAACATTCCCTGTACAGCCAAGAGATTGGATAAATGGACTAAGAATATCATTCACATTTAGATTGTTTGATGCCTTTTTCAGAAGAAAGGGTGAGAATTCCCAGTGGTTCAAAATAAAATCTTCAAAACTAGAATCCGTTGTACCAAATAGACTTCCTTTAAGCACTTCAAATGGTAAAGCCGTAGTCAATAAGCAAGAATTAATGGAAATCCTAAATATAGCTTCTGCAAGGTTATTAACTCCAATATTGCTCTTACAATAATGTCCATCTTCATTAACTTCTATAGCACCTTTGACAGCCATTTGATGACTTACTTTTGCCCAGAGCTCTTTCAGAAGGGTTAAGAATGCTTCAGAAACGCTCGCAGGGATATTCTGTAGCTGCTCAGCATCGCATGAATTAATGAGAATAATAGTCGCACTAAGAAATGCCATCAAATGTTCATGATGTTCTCCCATCCCTATCTTGAGACAGTGGAGACTTCCATTGCCCTCAGACCACAAAGAAACAGAATTTGAAAGAATTGGAATCTGAATAAATGTGCACCTAAAGAGCGCCACTTGTTTAGTTATTTAAATAAATGCCTTTAATACTTCAACATTTGACCCAAAAAAAAAAAATGTTGCAGCCATCCGGAATGGAAATTGTTTGTGCCTCACATGTTTTTTCTGACATAACCATGATGGAAAATTTACAAAATTATTCAAATGAAAGGAACAAAGGTTCTCTCATAGCACATGGCTAATTGTGTTTCAAGTATAAAGTATATAAGAGCATATAAAAATTAGTTTTTGGATCACATTTCAAGAAAAAGATTCAAATAATTTGATCATTCAAAAACAAATCAAATTCATGCGATTGAAATGTGTAATCAGAAATCAGCTGAAATAACAGACAGGGTTATTCATTCAATTTGATTAAAAAAAAAATGCCACAGAACTTCAGGCCTGCAGTACACAAATTGCCAGATTAGCAAGTCTATGCATTTGTACACAGATATTAAAAAATTAACTATGCATCTGTACACAGATTTTAAAATATTAAGTCCCCTTCCAGTCCCCAACAACCACACAAACAGAAAACCCGGCGAAGGGCTGATTGCTAATTGAAGCTAAACCACAGCCAGTGGCCCAGTGTCACGTATTTGAACGAAGGAAAATAACCATTAAAAAAAATGTCATAATTGTTAACGCTTACATTAGTTTTTCCAAGGCAGAAAATTTCAGCAGCTGCTGTTGCCCAAAAGTGGTAGTAGACAAGTCCAAGACAGCATTGCAGGCAGATGACATAACCTTTCTCTTCGAACTCGTCAACAGTGAGATTAAACCCTTCAAAGTTTCACAATCAGAAGCAATTTCATTGTTCACAACAAAAGAAGCAAGCGAAGCAGCGCCCACAATTTCTGCGCCACAGCACGCAATTCCAGGACATCTGCAAAGTGCAAACCAAAAAGTAAAGACCCAAACAAGCAAAAAAAAAAAGAATGAAAGAAAGAAAGAAAGAACGAGTCAACCCAGTCTGGCGCAGTTATTTCAAACCACCAAAGCACAAATTCAACAGAGAGGAATACGTAGCTTACTCGGAGTTGAGAAGTGTTGGAAGCAATGCAAGAATGGGTCTGAAATGGATTTCGGAGAGCAGCGAAGTGAGAATTTTGCTTGTGCATTTCCTGATGAGGGAAAGAGTGTCGAGTTCGCGAGGCTGAGAGAGGGATGCGAGCAATAAAGCGAAGATGGTATTGGCGTCATCACATTGAAGTTGAAGGCTGGTTGAGGAAGACTTTGATTTCCTTTTCCTTTTACTTCGTGTTTCTGCAGCTTCATGCTTCTCCATTGTTCTCGCAGATGTCACGGCTCAACTCTGATGCGGACGACAAATTTTCAGATTGGTGACGATCGCGGAGAATGGGCCTTAGATTGGAATTGAGGCCCAACTAAGCCCATATTTCTCTGGCCCCATAACCCAGGTTGATCGAAGTCATCGGTATATATTCATAAAAGGCCCAACTATGTCGTTGCCGTTTTAATGAATAAATTTGACCTTTGATGAAAAAAATACAATATTATATTGAAGATAGATTTTTATTATTTTTTCCATTTATTCATCAAAGAATATTTAAGGCGTGGGTATTATATTGAAAAAACTAACATGAAAATTATATTAGAACATACATTTTGTTACGTTAACAATATTTGAATCATATTAAAGAAACATGTTGGATGAGTTGAAAAGGAGAAAAATTAAGAAGAAAAAAGAAAAGGACTTCCTAAGGTTGTAAAAAATAAATCATTAATTATTTTATTTTTTATTTGTGTGCAAACATTATGATATGCAAAATGTATACCTAAAAAGTTCTTTGACAAACTATTTTTGAATGATAAGAACCAAAATTGAAAAACTTGAGTCATGAGCTAATAAAGTGAATAGTTAATGGGTAAAAATCAATCTTAGAAACCAAATAAATAAGTTCACAAATTTAAAATGTCAAAAGTTTTATTATTCTTAAAAAGCTTAAAGGACCTCAGCAAAAATTATAAAACAAACCAAAAAATATAGAAAATTACAAAAAAAAAGAAAAAAACCTAAAAATTATAAACAATGACTCAAAAAATAACCTAGAATTTTTTTTGTTCTTTCTGATAATTTTTAGGTCTTTTTCTTTTACTTTGCGGTTAACTAATATTTAAAGTTTACTTTTATTAACAATAGAGACAATATTATACCATTTTTTAAAATTTAAAAAAATATTACACCAAAAATGAGTTTATGATCTCAAAGACTTGGACCTATAGTTTAGAGGTCAAATTGTCACTCAACATTTCTTAAAATTAATCATTAATCAATTTTAATTTGTATTTAGTTAAAATATAATTTTAATGATATACTACATAGGTTCATGATGTTATATAATAGTAGTTAATTATTATTTTTCTTTTGATACCCTAGTAGTCAATTGTCCTTCATAAATTTTATATATTTTTTATTTTAAAACAAGAGACCTGGCTATCCAAACCACATAATTAGGCAGGTCAAGCAAGGTAATGCAAACTTGTGATTGGTAATGAGTTCATCCATTTAATATATTCAACTTATTTTGGTGATTTTTCTCAAGTCCAATAATTGAATTTTACATTTGCGTGTAATAGCTCCTTTTATCTCCACGTCAAAACCATTATAACTTTCACAACATTATGATGCAGCAAAAATATTTTTTTTTTTGGGATGATACAAAACATAATACTTCTCCTTTCAAAAGTATAAGTACATTTAATTGAATTATACAGTTTTTAATAAGTTAGTTAATTGTGTTTAAATTATTATCCTTATTTTTGTGAAAGGTCAATTGATTTAATTGTTAAGGGTATTTTTGAAAAAAAATCATTAATTATACCTTGAGAAGCTAAAAATATTTTATATTTTTTAATATCAAACCTGAAAAAAATGTTTTAAATTTTTAAGAGAATCACGTTCAAGGACCACTTAAGTAAATTATTCACAAATAATGACTAATATAAAATGCACTGTTGATAAAATGGGAAAGTGAACTTATTTTTTTGGTTAATGGAACTTGTTAATTCTTATCTGCTTTTATTTTTTTTTGATTGGTTCTTAAATGTGATTCTTCTTAAATTTTTTAACAGATGGTGCAACATTTTTGCAAGAAAGAGTGGAGCATTCCTGTGATAACAGAAGAAGGAATAATGGAAAAAAAAATTAATGGCAACATCAAAATTTAATCTAATAATCTAGCACTAAAATAATACGGTACATAAGTTGGTATCGTGATAAATTAATAATGATCCAATTAATTCAAAGATCATGATCGACATGAACGATCAATGGGCTCAATTCCCAGAAGCCTAGCCAATTGTCCAGTCCCATAGGCCACAATAGTTTCTGGAAAAAAAAAAAGAACGGAATATAAAAACAAATGAAATTTGCCAAAAAGGAAGAAGGAGGAGGGATTTTGTACATGAATATAGACTATTATACCATTACTTTTTAGTATAAGACTTTTTGCTTAAATTATTATTTTTAAAAAATATTATTTACTGTGAAATTTTTACAGGTTTAATTGGTTTAAACCAAATTCTTTAATACAGGTAAATATAAAATAATTTTAAGCCTGATAAATAAATAAATATATATATATATATAAGTCTTCATAGAAAGAAAGGGAGGGAGTAATAATTAACAAATAGGTACTCCCTTCTTATCATATTCATAAGACACTTTTAAATATATTTTTAACTTTTTATATGAAATATGCATATTTTAATAGCACATTTTTCTCTTCAATGTTTAATGGAAGTAATAAAAAGGAAAACTTTTGATAAAAAAAATCATTGACATGCTTTATAAATAAGATTAAAAAATTTATTTTTTTATCTTATAAATAGAACATGAAAGGGTATAATAGAAGCTGTACAAAGTTTTATAGTTCTTTTTTCTAAGTGTACCAAATAGATTTTGTTGAGAGTAAAGTGGAACATATTATCTAATATATGCAATGCCATTGAAAAGAAGAGAAATATGAACTTCATTTACGTGTAACTCTCTTATTTCTCTCATGCTCTCCTATCACTTACTTCCATGGAATATATTTCATAATTTGTTTATCAGATCAAGTTAAAGAAGAGAGTATTACCATCAGAACCTCCAATATGCCTTCCATTGATGAATACCTGTGGCACGATATGGCTCCCAACAATTTTGCCCAGTTTGCTTTGAATTTTCCATCCATCATCTGCATGACATAAAAGTGTATACCAAGCCAGAGAATGATAATTAAAAACCCATTCTTAATTTTTTTATGTTATAATCTTAATGTGGGTCACTTCCTTGAAATATCCATTTAATGACCCAAAAAGTTAGTTATATTTTTGGATTACCATCAAAACATCTTAGCAAGTGCCTTGAATTTGAGTTCTCCAGGGAGTATTTAACTATTTTGCATATATCTAGAAAATTAGTTTATGTCCTTAAAATAATTTCATCATCTTTTAAAAAAAAACATCAATTAAACATTCAACTCTCTCTTAATCTGCCCCCCCAAATCCATAAATTTGTTAATCCTCCAACATTCCAATGGAAATTTTTAAAAAAATATTAATTATTCCTTTGATTCTGCAAAGTGCCCTATAAATAAAAAGGAGAAGTTTTCTAAACAATGCTTTATAAAAAAGAATAAAGGAGATACGATTCGCAACTTATGAATAACGCAACTCATTTCTTGGATTTTGTGCAAGATATATTAAATGTTAGTAATATGTTTTAGTAGCATGTTAAAACGAATCAAGAGCAAGTTAAAGTTATTAACATGTGTGTGTGCGTGTGTGAATACTGAATACCTCTTTCATCAAGCTCAACAATATATGGTGTTTGCTTCAACTGTTTGAAAACAGCTTTTGCTCTCCTACAATGCCTGAATTTACCATCAACAAATTAGAAATACCTAATAAGGAGCAAAAACTGTTTTGTGCAGTGGATGTAAAGCAATAAGACAATTGGCATTCCAATATGTTTAAATTGAAATATTCTTTTGTATGTATAGTATATGCATATGCTGTCTGTTTAATGATTTGTTTACAAAGTTTTACTAGTTAGCTGGTTTTGCAACTTTTTTGTTTTAATTTATGGTGTCCAACTTTCATCATGGATCTCATATTCTATATCAAGCATGGCAAAGAGATTAATTTATAGGATCTCAACCTACAAAATGAATCTTTATTATCCAAATCATTATCATGACTAAGTCTGAATGATAAGTAAAATAATATCTTATCTATCATTATATCATCTGCACTATTTAACATGCCCAAAATGTGAAAGTTTGAGTGAAGGTACAAGTGAAACAATGTACTTTATTCTATAACAAATAACAAGACGTAATAGCAATTATCTAATTAAAATTTTAAAAAGAAATTTCTATAGATTTTGCTAGCTACGAGATGATATTTTGCTAATTAAGGGTGAGTTTGATATTTCAATGAGAAGCCCATGAAACCATGTTTGTCAAGCCAAGGCACACCCAAACGTGGACGATGTAAACAGTAATGACATCTAATATTTAAACAACTAAACATTAGGATTTTAATTAGAAATCTCGAGTTCAACCTTCAATTGCTTATGTTAAAGACCTAAAATGTCAAAACTCATGCAAATTAATTATAAACCTAAAACCTGTTAAAGAGATTCATCCAACCAATTCAATTGAACGTAGGAATTGAAGTTTTTATACATATCTAACATAAATCACGTTATAATAACAGACTATTATTATAAATTAAGTTTTGCAACTGCTAACCCAAACATGCACTAAATCCATGCACCGAATTAGTGTGAGTTGGACAGAGAGAACGCATACGGGCAATAGGATTTGGAGAAGATGACGATGTTGTGGGAAGAGATGGTATTGAGGACGAAGCCAGCATCAGATTCAGAATAAGTGTGAGCCAAATACATTGAAGTTGCCACTACCATCATCACCAGCATCGCTGTTGCTATCATTCTCGCTGTTTCAGCCATGGATGTTTATAAGAGCTACGCAAACAGATTCTCTCCTTTTCACTGTGCTGTTACAAACATACTCACTTGATGATGCAGACTTGAGATTATATATACAGTGAGTATGGAAAGTTAAGTGATTTATTATTCGTCATAAGAGTTTATCTTTGCTTGAAAATCGGATGAATCTTATCCATTTAATTGGTTATATCCTCGCTTGATTATTATACGTATAATATAAATAAACGGGCAACATACTTGTTAGTAATTATTAATATATAAATAAGAAGATTTACATTTAAATTTTAATCGGTTTGAGTTTTGTTTGGGTAAAATTGGATTCAGGATTTTTTTATACTTTATAATTTATATTTTAAATAATTCCTTTTTTATACAATAAATAAATTATTTTCTCTTAGGCGATAATTGATAAAGGATTAAGGTTCAAGGATAGAGTGTCATATGGTATAAGTTACACATTCAATTTATATATATATATATATATATATATTTTGCACTTTTATTAAGATGGTATATTTAGAAGATGTTTATTCAACTAGATCAATCTAAGACAGTTTCGACTTAATCAAATCATAAAAATGGATAACGACCCCATGTACGAGCTTAATTATTTTGCTGATTTAAAATTCTCAACATTTAGTTATATACTTTAAACGGTAATCAGCCGTCGGATAATTGTAATTAATATAATCTAGTAGATAATTAATTTAGCAGATTTGGTTTTGAAGCCGCACGATCTTCTGAATGACTGAAACAGTATATAATAATAATAAAAAAAAACCAATACAAGATAGTAAAGATTTTTTTGTCATATAAAATATATATTGTCTGTGATTTGTGAATAAATAATAAAGAATAATATAATAACGTTGCGTTTCCCTCCACTTCAAATCTCGCCCGCGCCTTTTCTTTTTCAATATAATAATATTATCATTATTAAAATTGATGGCAGCACGTGGGGAGAGAGAAGACCGACTCTACACCAACGTCTTCTTTTTTGACCGACTCTACCTGCGTCTAATATCCAAAAGGCGAAACCTAGTTTCATTTTAATGGTCTTCTCTCCTCTTCTTTTCGCCGCCGCCGTGAGGGTTGCGAGATCCACGATCACCGTAACCGCCACCGCTGCCGTATTCTCCACCACTGTTCCTGTAGTATCCAGCCTCGCGGCGTCTACCGCCGTTTCCGTATCCGCCTCCACCACGGCTATTTATCCACTCCCACCGCCGTACCCGCCTCCGCCGCCTCTTCCAGGAGACTGAACTTCGTTCACCGTAACGTTCCGGCCATCAAGGATCTGACCGTTCATGCCATCGATTGCATCCCTCATGGACTACTCCGAGGGCAACGTCTCGAATCATAGCCATCTTGACCTTCCGGTCTCGCGATCGTTGATAACCTTCGATTCGATAATGTCGCCAAAAGGAGCAAAGGCCTTGCCGAAGGTATACTGTCACTTATTATTATTTGTTTTTTCTCATACCATTTTCCTTAATCTAGAAATTCTAATCATGTTTCTCGTTTTATTACAGAATTAGGCCATTAGTTTTGGTGAAAACAAGAAGACGGCAGCAAAAGATGGCGGTAGCGAGATCGAGGCCAGACATTGCGAGGCTTCTCCTATCTGATCAAAGGTCATTTTCGTTTATCGCTCACAGAACTCATAACTAATATATTATTTCTCAAATTTCTGCTGATGTTCTTTTCTTATAAAGTTTAAATGCGCATTCGGAGCGTCACCTTGTTAATGATTTTTGCTGCATGATTCAGAAATCTTTGTGAATATAATGTAATTTGCTCTTATTTTCCCAGTGATCTAACATTTTATTATACATTGGTTGGAAAGGATGGTTGCTCTGTTGATCGTTGGCTGTGTGGCTTTATCATATTTTTAATACCTTGTGTGTTACGGAACCAATACGTCATGACTTATGGTCAGTGTCATGTGTTGTATTATTATTCACTACTTATGTCAGTCATATTTCCGTGTTGTATTGTTGTTCATTACTTAAGAAAATATATTTTTGATGTGGCTGGAAAATATCACACACACTCACCATATATAAATCATTACATTCTTTCTCTTTTTTTTAAATGTGCATTTTGTTGAATTTTTCCTTACTTTTTCAAGTTTTTTTTAATATAAACACATTTTTTAAATCTTTGCACTTCCTATTATATATATATATATTTGTTTAAAGTTCAACCTTTTTTTATTTAGCTAAAATATGTCTTTCAAACGTGCTTTTCGTTCATTTATTTAGTATATTTTAAAGTTTTTTTTATTTTATATAAGCACAACTTTCTAATGTTTGCGCATTTTATTATTTAGCTATATTTTAAATTTAGGTTTTTTTATTTAGCTGACATATGTCTTCCAACAGTGCTAAATGTTTTTTTATTGTCCTTTATATCTTTTTCAATTTTTAAATAAAAATAATCATTTATCAATAATGTTAATCGTATTTTCATAAAAATGTACCATGTCATCAAACATTTGTAGTATTTTTAAGAAAATAAATTGCTAATGTTGAGCTTGTGGAAAACACCATACATACATCATATACTTTTTTTTTTAGATGTGCTTTTTTTATTTTTCTTTTACATTTTACAGCTTTTTTTTTTTCCAAATATAAACACATCTTTTAAATCTTTGCATTTCTTATTATATATCTATTTGTTTTAAACTTGACTTTTTTATTTAGCTGAAATATGTCTTTAAAAGGTGCTATAATGCTTTATAATTTTCTTGACATCTTTTTCAATTTCTAAGTAAAAGTCTTCATTTTTCAAAAATGTGAATCATATATTCATAAAAATTGTAATATTTGATCTAACAATTATAGTATTTTCTTTAAAGAATATATATGTTTGATGTGGTACCTGAGGAAACTACCATGAGTGCACACCTGCCAGAACTGCTTTCATTCTTTCTCTTTTTATCCTCGTGCTTCTTGTTCATTTATTTCATACATTTTAAAGCTGTTTTCTTTTAAATATAAGCACAATTTTTTAATGTTTGCACTACCTATTATTTATTTATATTTTCAATTTAAATTTAAGTTTTATTATTTTATTTATCATAAATATGTCTTTAAAAAGTGGTTGGTGTTTTTTATTTTTCTTGATATCCTTCTCAATTTTTGAATAACGTTAATCATATTTCATTAAAAATGTATTATACTATCACACATTTGTAGTATTTTCTTTAAGAAAATATATTTCTCATGTGGAACTTTAGGAAAACACTACACGTACTCACCATATATAATTCATTGCATTTTTTCACTCTCTCTTTTTTAAATGTGCTTTTTGTTGAATTTTTGCTTACATTTTAAAACTTTGCACTTCCTATTATTTATTTATTTATTTATTTTTTGTTCAAACCTGACTTTTTTATTTAGCTGAAACATGTTTTCCAAAAGTGCTTAATTATTTATAATTTTCTTCATATCTATCTCAATTTTTAAATAAAAGTCATCATTTTTGAAAAGCATGAAAAATGTATCATTTTATCAAACATTTATCATATGATATTTTTTTTAAAAAGTATATATTTTTTGATGTGGGATTTGAGGAAACAACCATGCACACACACCTATAACTGCTTTCGTTCTTTCCCTTTTTATACCTTTTTTTAAATATAAGATAACTTTTTAATCTTTACACCTCCTATTATTTATCTTTGTTTCAAATTTATGTTTTATTTTTTTATTTAGCAGAAATATATCTCCAAATAGTACTGAATGTTTTTTCTCAATTTTCTTCATATCTTTCTCGGTTTTTAAATAAAAGTCATCATTTTTGAAAAGCATGAAAAATGTATCATTTTACCAAGCATTTATCATATCATATTTTCTTTAAAAGAGTATATTTTTTGATGTGGGATTTGAGGAAACAACGATGCACACACGCCTACAACTGCTTTCGTTCTTTATCTTTTTGTACCTTCTTTTAAATATAAGTGTAACTTTTTAATCTTTACACTTCCTATTATTTATCTTTGTTTCAAATTTATGTTTTATTTTTTTATTTAGCAGAAATATATCTTGAAATAGTACTGAATGTTTTTTCTCAATTTTCTCTATATCTTTCTCGGCTTTTAAATAAAAGTCAGCATTTTTGAAAAGCATGAAAAATGTATCATTTTACCAAGCATTTATCATATCTTATTTTCTTTAAAAGAGTATATATTTTTTGATGTTGATGTGGGATTTGAGGAAACAACCATGCACACACACCTACAACTGCTTTCGTTCTTTCTCTTTTTGTACCTTTTTTTAAATGTAAGTATAACTTTTTATTGTTTACACTTCTATTATTTATCTTTGTTTCAAATTTATGTTTTATTTTTTTATTTAGCAGAAATATATCTTCAAATAGTACTGAATGTTTTTTCTCAATTTTCTTCATATCTTTCTCGGTTTTTAAATAAAAGTCATCATTTTTGAAAGGCATGAAAAATGTATCATTTTATCAAGCGTTTATCATATCATATTTTCTTTAAAACAGTATAAATTTTTTGATGTGGGTTTTGAGGAAACAACGATGCACACACACCTACAACTGCTTTCATTCTTTCTCGTTTTATAACTTTTTTTAAATATAAGTATAACTTTTTAATCTTTACACCTCCTATTATTTATCGTTGTTTGAAATTTATGTTTTATTTTTTTATTTAGCAGAAATATATCTTCAAATAGTACTGAATGTTTTTTCTCAATTTTCTTCATATCTTTCTCGGTTTTTAAATAAAACTCATCATTTTTGAAAGGCATGAAAAATGTATCATTTTATCAAGCATTTATGATATCATATTTTCTTTAGAACAGTATATATTTTTTGATGTGGGATTTGAGGAAAAAACCATACACACACACCTGCAAATGCTTTAGTTCTTTCTCTTTTTGTACCTTTTTTTAAAAATAAGTGTAACTTTTTAATCTTTACACTTTCTATTATTTATCTTTGTTTCAAATTTATGTTTTTGTTTTTTTATTTAGCAGAAATATATCTTCAAATAGTACTGGATGTTTTTTCTCAATTTTCTTCATATCTTTCTCGGTTTTTAAATAAAAGTCAACATTTTTGAAAGGCATGAAAAATGTATCATTTTGTCAAGCATTTATCATATCATATTTTCTTTAGAACAGTATATATTTTTTGATGTTGATGTGGGATTTGAGGAAAAAACCATGCACACACACCTACAACTGCTTTCCTTCTTTCTCTTTTTATACCTTTTTTTAATATAAGTATAACTTTTCATTCTTTACACTTCCTATTATTTATCTTTGTTTCAAATTTATGTTTTATTTTTTTATTTAGCAGAAATATATCTTGAAATAGTACTGAATGTTTTTTCTCAATTTTCTTTATATCTTTCTCGATTTTTAAATAAAAGTCAGCATTTTTGAAAAGCATGAAAAATGTATCATTTTGTCAAGCATTTATCATATCATATTTTCTTTAGAAGAGTATATATTTTTTGATGTGGGATTTGAGGAAACAACTATGCACACACCTACAACTGCTTTCCTTCTTTCTCTTTTTATACCTTTTTTTAAATATAACTATAACTTTTTAATATTTACACCTCCTATTATTTATCTTTGTTTCAAATTTATGTTTTATTTTTTTATTTAGCAGAAATATATCTTCAAATAGTACTGAAATTTTTTTCTCAATTTTCTTCATATCTTTCTCGATTTTTAAATAAAACTCACCATTTCTGAAAAGCATGAAAAATGTATCATTTTATCAAACATTTATCATATCATATTTTCTTTAAAACAGTATATATTTTTTGATGTGGGATTTGAGGAAACAAACATGCACACACACCTACAACTGCTTTCGTTCTTTCTCTTTTTGTACCTTTTTTTAAATATAAGTGTAAGTTTTTAATCTTTACACGTCCTATTATTTATCTATGTTTCAAATTTATGTTTTATTTTTTTATTTAGCAGAAATATATCTTCAAATAGTTCTTAATGTTTTTTCTCAATTTTCTTCATATCTTTCTCGGTTTTTAAATAAAAGTCATCATTTTTGAAAGGCATGAAAAATGTATCATTTTATCAAGCATTTATCATATCATATTTTCTTTAGAACAGTATATATTTTTTGATTTGGGATTTGAGGAAACAACCATGCACACACACCTACAAGTGCTTTCATTCTTTCTCGTTTTATAACTTTTTTTAAATATAAGTATAACTTTTTAATCTTTACACCTCCTATTATTTATCGTTGTTTGAAATTTATGTTTTATTTTTTTATTTAGCAGAAATATATTTTCAAATACTACTGAATGTTTTTTCTCAATTTTCTTCATATCTTTCTCGTTTTTTAAAATAAAAGTCAACATTTTTGAAAGGCATGAAAAATGTATCATTTTATCAAGCATTTATCATATCATATTTTCTTTAGAACAGTATATATTTTTTGATGTGGGATTTGAGGAAACAACCATGCACACACACCTACAACTGCTTTCGTTCTTTCTCTTTTGTACCTTTTTCTAAATATAAATATATATTTTTTGATGTGGGATTTGAGGAAACAACGATGCACACACACCTACAACTGCTTCCATTCTTTCTCTTTTTATACCTTTTTTTAAATATAAGTT